GATAGCTCCAGATTTCCCTTCCAGCCGTGCACGATGATCTCTTCATCTGCCGCAATCAGTAGAGAGGAGACAGGTGACGGCTGCAGCACCCGAGCAGGCGCGCGCGGCAAGGGCTGGCTCGGGCCAGTGAGTGACACACAGCACATGCTGCGCCCTGTTCCCGGCTGCGGCTCCCCATTAAATACATCATTGAGGAAAAATCACCACGTACATTCCAGCTGCTGCAGACTATGTCACCGGAGTAGACGTGTTGTCACATATACAAACATGCACCGAATAGTATCTATGCGTGTGATTAATTAGAAGCTAACAGTTAAATCTTAGAGCCACAGGGAAAAAAAAAAAAAGGAAACAAAAAAAAAGCATGCCCTCATAGGAAAGATTAAAATTAACTCTAAAATGTTTCTGATCTCAAAAATTAAAAACAAAACAACACTGTGTTCCTTAAAGCAGTGAAGGAGACAAGGAAGTCAATAATATGTGTCCTGATTGTGTTTCACCATACTGATTTTTATCTTTAATTTCAGTTAATTCGGTGCCCATGAAAGCTACCGAACTAGCAGCTCTTGAGCCTGAAGTCTTCTGCATCAATATAGATTTAGAGACTGCACCTCAAAAACCCTGGGAACACCATGGTAACAGTTGCCAAGTCCTAAAAAAAAAAAAAAAAAAAAAGCTTTTAGGGAGCCTGAACACAAAGACTAACAGGATAAGAAAGAAGAACAGCAATATTGATCTTAATCATCTCAGCCAAATTTGACCCATGTAAACTCACCAGTAGTGCATTCAGCTTAAAGTTAAGTGTACTGAATTCTTTTTGATGGATTGAGAGAGGATAAAAGAGTGCAGAAATAGGAAGCCTAGTGAAAACTGAAATTATTATCTCATAAAGGAGGCACAACACAATAAAAATGAAGCACATAGCAAATGGACAAAAATTTGCATAAAACTGGCATTATTCAAGAATCTTTATTATATGGGAGTATTCTTATTAGCTAGGTTGTCAACCATTCAAGATTCATCAGTAACCTGAAAGTTAATATGAAATCACACCGATAACATGACGGCTAGAAGAACGGTAAGTAAGATGGGAGATGGGACATATGAAAAGACCTTAGTCTCTTGGTAAGTCTCTTGGCACTTTCAAATAAACAGCATGTTTATTGGCACCATTTGCAGCACTGTGCATCTACGAGTAAGGACTGCAGGTGATGGAAGGGATCCTGGAAAGAATGATTCTGCAAAGGCTCATGAGCAAGTATCATAGGATTGCACGAGACCACCCAAAGCGATGAGTTTGGTTTCCTACAATCTCCATCAGCTGTGTGAGATCTCGGAAGAAATATCCCTGTCACGGAACAGCAGAAATATCCCTGTACCGTCCACTCCACACCACAAAACACATGAGTTTTACAAACTCATACCAGTGATTTTGAAAATAGCGTAGAGATCACAGTGGGAAAACAAGGCAGCGTAAGTTCCTTCTGTTTAATTTTGTTATGGAAAAAAAAAGTAATCCTCAAATGTAAACAGAAGTTGCTAAGAAGGGATTTTACTTCTGTGTATACCTTTAGCAAGAGAGATATTAAATCAATAACAAGTTCTGCTGTCAATGCTTTTAGCATAATATTGACTAATTTTACAGGGTACAAGAAAAAGGGCTACAGAAAATATCTGAGAGTGAAGAAATTGCCTTAGAAACTTAAGGAGCTGGATCTGTGTAGTTGGCAGGGAAAAAAGTGATTATGTGGAATAAAATAAATTTTATAGGAGAAAACACTACATATGAAAGAGCTTTTTAGCTAAGTGAGGTAAGCCATTACAAGAACCAACAGCTGGAAGCTGAAGCCAGACCAACTCAAACTAGAAGTGAGAAACACTGAAAACAGTTAAGCACAACAACAAACTGCTGGAGGAAGGGCTAAATTTTCCAATCATTTCATGATGTCTTCCAGTCAAGACAGCATGCCTTTCTGAAATACTGTAATTTAATCAGCAGAGACTTTTATGAGCTTGCAACAAAGTGTATTATCAATGCATGAAGCAAATATGTGATCAGATTCAAGAAGAGAGAGTTCACTTCTGGCATTATAAATATTTCATCTCCAGATTAAACATGAGATTCTCTGGTCAAACTTTTGCAGACTGAGTGGACATGTTGGCATCGGATGTCTTATTTCCAGGGAAGGTAAGCAACAAATATATTTGGGCTATCATATTTTCTTTACTTTTTTGTTCCAGTTTTTACAGATGTTAGTGCTTTATTAGATGATTTGTTTGCTTGTCCATTGAGCCATGCATAGTAACGCCCAGTTCTTCTTTTGTGAAAGGGTACTTAGACGATAACTTTGAATTGCTTTATAAGATTTTTTTTCCAAATAAAGCTGTAATTTTTTTCATCCTTCTAATTATCAGAACGCATAATTCTTTGTTCCTAACAATACGCTACAAAACAGGACGGTATAAGTAAAACATTACTGCTGTGAAACATTACCAGCGTATGACCATAGGACGAGGCCCATGTCAGTGTTTTAATGATACACAGCCCGTTCTAACACATATCCTTCCTAAAAGTGTTCTTTCCCTCACTGCTGCCGTGATTTTTCTCTGGGAGATACGTCTCAGCTCTCTTTTCCAAGCCTTTGTAGCTCCTTATGTGACTCAGCCCACCTAAAATTCTTTAGTTAGAATCAAGAAAAACTATTTATATATAACTGGAAATATGCAGTGAGATCATTAGTGAATATAGATAGTTTTTGACCCCTGGTTTCCAGGATAATCTCCTATAGAAGGACTGATTTCACATAGTGCATTGAAAAGGCAAAATAATACCAGCACTTTTTCATGAATGCTTGTAATTCTCTGCATTAAAGCTCTCGAGTTTGCTTGTCTTACATTAGCCTAATTTTCAATCAAATAGCTGTTTATAAAAGAAGCAGAGTCCACATCAAACCGCATCATCAGATCTAATTCCACTGACATGTACTTGAGCGTGAAGTAAGTCCACCACATTCAGCCCTGAAGGAGAGATTCTCTGGAGTACACAGCCTAGACTATTTGCCGCATCACAGCACACAGCACCATGCATTGCTTTTACAATTTGTTGCTTTTTCTTTCTTTCTTTCTTTATATGAAGCAAATGCTTTGCCTTTGCAAGTGTCAGGTATTACCGCTTGGTTTTGCACTAAGTTGCTTATGAAGAGCTTGTATAAGGAGCAGGAAAGTATCTTGTGTCTTTTAGAGTATATATTTGAAGCAGACTTGCCTTCTGAGAAATGGATATCATTTTGCATACCACCCCGCATACTGTTACCTTTGAAATGTGCATATAGATCTCTCCACCGCGGGAAAGGTGGCATTCAAGCTGCCAGCCTGCCCTACCTCTCAGGAGAGCCGCAGCACAAGTAGCACAAGTGAGGTCCCATGGTCCCAAGTGAGAACCTTCAGTCTCCTGCTACAAGGAGTGGAGGGGCTGTTCCTTAGCAGACTGCCTTATTTTGGGGGGCCCCAGCCACAGACTGAGTCTTTACTTTGCTGCTTCTCTCTATTTACTTCTACAGAGATAAAATGGTAGCGAATGAGATGCATTTCTTTTTTAAGGCCTAACATTTACAGTTCTTCTTGTTCACTTCTCAACCACTGACATGAAATTTGCTCTGATAGGGAAAGGAGCTGGGCTAGGGCTGAACTGTGCAGCCATTCAGTTCCCAGTGGAGATCAGTATGAAAAATAGATTTACAGAACTGATGGAGGGAGGAAAGAAATGTTTGAAATATGAATTTGCGCCAGGAATGGAAAGATTTTAAATTTATACTTATTAGACACTGAACTATTATTTTTGTCAAGGATAAGCATTCAGAACAATTCATAGCATTTGGAATATAAGTAATACAATTTTTAGAGCAATAGACAAAAGTTCATTTTTTAAGTATAAGGATTTTTGTAGAAAATTCAGTTAAAGAATTCAAGGTCTTCAAAATTCGAAATGCTCATTATTATTAGATTTTTTCCATAATTTTGCAAATAATCAACAAGCAAAAAGCACATTTTTTGTTTCCTTTCCTTTTTTTTCTGTATTTTTGTTGGCTTTATTATATATGCTTAAAAATAACAAAAAATGGGTCTCTTTTCACATGGATTTCTTCTGACCCATGCTATGAATCCGAACGTTTCAGAGGGTTGGTAGTGAAATGAGAACTTACACCTCTGTGTTACAGACTAGTCTCCCGCCTATGTCGCGTCGTCAGAATTAAGGGTTGAGATGCATTCATCAACGTATGGCTGTGTGTGCAGCTCGCCACAGAAAGCTGTGGCCTGCATCCAGTTTACCTTCACGATATTTTGTTCTTTTTCACGTGCGCAAGCGTTGTTCTAGTTCCTGGTAAAGGCGAAAGAATCGCCGCTCCTGGAATCGGTCGTTCTCCAGACTTTCTGAGCAGATTCCTCCTGCTGAGACAGCTCAACCTTTTCCTGCCTTGGTTTATCAGCCCTTTAAGCTTCTGGCACTTTCGCGGCGGCACGGGCTCGCACGTGGCTGCCACGGGGC